CTGGGTAGCCTAATTGTCTGTAGTGTATGAGTGTGTGTGGATGTTTCCCAGAGATGGGTTGTGGCTGGAAGGGCATTCGCTGCGTTAAAACGTGCTGGATGAGTTGGGGTTTCATTCCGCTGTGGCGACCCAAGATTGATAAAGGGACTAAGCCGAAAAGAAAATGAATGAATGTTTTAATATAATGTTTTCTGTAGTTTTGTTTTGTTGTATTTTCATTGTATAATTTATGCATTTTATTAATCTGTCTTTGTTAAATATTAAATTTAAATGTATGTTTTTTATTATTTTATTTATGTATTATTATTATTATTATTATTATTATTATTTGTATGTTTGGTTTTGATTTCTTTAGTACATGGTAAAAGCTAATAAAATTAATAAAGACTTTTATTGTATATAAAGATATTTATATATTTATTCTTTTACAATGTAAATTTCCACATTACATGCTTTATTATCTTTAGTCTTTGTGGCTATATGGATACATAATGTTTGATTGTTGTAATTGGAACTAAAATGTATGAATGTATATTTTTTAAGATTATCCACATTCTTTCACTGACAAAAGTAATAATATATACAGTTGAAGTTGAATTATTAGCCCCCCCTTTGATTTTTTTTTCTTTTTCAAATATTTCCCAAATGATGTTTAACAGAGCAGGGAAATTTTCACAGTATGTCTGATAATATTTTTCCTTCAGGACAAAGTTTTTTTGTTTTATTTCGGCTAGAATAAAAGCAGTTTTTAATTTTTTAAAAACTATTTTAAGGACAAAATTATTAGCCCCCTAAAGCATTTTTTTAATAGTCTACAAACCGTCTTTATACAATACCTTTCCTGATTACCCTAACCTGCCTAGTTAACCAAATTACCCTATAAATGTCACTTTAAGCTGTATAGAAGTGTCTTGAAAAATATCTAGTCAAATATTATTTACTGTCATCATGGCAAAGATAAAATAATCCATTATTAGAGATGAGTTATTAAAACTATTATGTTTAGAAATGTGTTGAAAAAATCTGCTCTTCGTTAAACGGAAATTGTGGAAAAAAAATAAACGGGGGTGAATAATTCAGGGGAGCTAATAATTCAGACTTCAACTGTATATATCAAACTAGTGTGCAGATTCAATAACCAAAACAGCTCTTACACACGAGATCATAGCACTTATGGACACTTTTTCCATTATCTTACATAAGTTATAGTACACATTCAATTTTCAGATCTGTACACAAAGTACTAGGAACGATCTGGTTTCGAGCGAACGCAATGCTGATGATGTTCAATGCAGTTTTTTGAATATGATAATCATTCGGTGTCATGCTATACATATACAGCACATAGTAATAGCACTTTGCTTTAAGAAATCAAAACACACATACAACAAATGAATCAACATGAACTAAGATTTTAGTAAACCAGCTCAATTGTAAACGTGCAATGCACAAAATCCCTACTATCTGTCTCTAGTATATCACTAGTAATTGAGCATCGAACAATGCACTACTATGCCAACGGATGCATATTGTTCGTGTGTGTGTGTGTGTGTGCGTGTGTGTGTGTGCGTGTGTGTGTGTGTGTGTGTGTTTGTGTGTGTGTGTGCGTGCGTGCGTGTTCAGACACTGCGCATAGATGCGAATGCAGGAGTCTGTGTCCACCTGCACTAATAATCTTCTCTGAACAGACAAACAATAACCTGAATTGACTAAAAATAGAAGCAATACCGGTTTCAAATCGACGCTTTTTTAAACAGACTTAAAATATGCCTCATGGACACACTGTTTTACCCGCACCATGCATGAAAGCTTGCAGTTGGCATTGCAGAAGATTCTGCATTACATTAAAATCAGTTCATACACTTCAACCGCAGAGTTCGAAGAAAGCTTGAAATAAATACCTGATCGTCTGCTCCTGTGGACGGATGGTGGTCCTCTTCTGCTCTTTATCTGTCCGCAATTCTCTTTCGATGCAATAGTTGCGGGATCTACCCTGACGTCAAGTAGCGACTGAAGGAGGCGTCTTTCATTTGACAATATAATGATACAATCCGGATACTATGATACTACTCCCGAGAGCCGTCCGCAGAGAGATAGAGGTTTAAATAAACTGTTACATTTCAGAAACAGACGAGGTTTAAACTGCTAGACTTGCTACATTGTGACAAAAGGATAGAGTCAGAAAAAGATTTTGAAAATGTTTAAAACACGTGGTCTATTGTATAATTTTATTCTGTTTTGTTCCATTAAATGTTGTTCCATTTAAATCAAATTTGAGTATTTTTTAAAACTGCAATATACTGATTTTCAGCTGACGAAAACTAATAATAATAAAAAAAAATGTTTGGCCTCAGCCTACTGTCTTCCTAAAGAGTTTTTGAAATAAGCAACAAAAATGACACTTAAGGCACAATTCAGACCAGTAGCCAGGACTTTTATTATTATTATTATTATTATTATTGTTGTTATTATTATTATTACTATTGTTATTATTATTATTGTTATTATTATAATTATTATTATTATTATTATTATTATTATTATTATTATTATGCGAAAAGTAAGAATATACAATCACAGTACATTGTATAGAAAAAGGAAAGATAAAAAGAAAATATTTTGGAAAAAAAGAACAACATCAAAAAAAAAAAACAGAAGGGGTGTATATATATTATGTTAAACAAACATTCAAGAAAAATGATTATACAATTTACAAATTTCATTTGTTTTTAAAGCCTTGTTTGTTTCAAAGTATTTCTGCATTTCATCAAGCAAAACAATAAAAAGCCTATTCATGAGCTCATTTGTCTCATTTTGACTGCTAAGCCATCATAAATAGTAAAAATATTCCATCGAAAACCCATTAAATTAAAATTAATTTAAATTGTTATGCAGGAATTTTCAAATGCTTGTTATTAATGATATATGATGTAATAAATTTTCGTTTTAAAAATAAGTATTTTTTTATATTTTATTTATTTATAAATTTAGAAAAACTAAATGTATATCAAAAAGTGTGGTTATGATGACCAAGCTAATCCATCTACAAACGTGCTTAAAATGTATTTAAATCTCATAATTAAATAGAAAATGAGTGTCCACTTTTTGAAATAAAAGAATCACCCCCATTCACAAAGCTGGCACAAAGCACAGCCCCCATTTGCCCCAGCTTTGGCCCACACAAGCAGCTTTTGCTTGGCCCACATGCCGCAGTGAATTACCGTACATGACTGGACCAAGTCTGGTCTCCAGACAAGGCCAAACTAATGTAGCCCACAAATCAATGTTTAACGTCTGGGCTAAATACTATATTTGACATCTGGCCCATGTACATTTACATTTAGACATTTAGCAGACGCTTTTATTCAAAGCGACTTACAAATAAGGACGAGGAAGCAATTTACACAACTATAAGAGCAACAATGATTAAGTGCTGTAGGCAAGTTTCAGGTATGTAAAGTGTGAGAAGCAAAACATTAGTAATTTATTTATTTATTTTTGTAATGCAGTCAGCAGTATAACCAGAGAGGCAACTGCAGATTAGGAAGGTTGTTGGAGACTAAATAGTTGAGTTTTTAGTCGTTTCTTGAAGACAGCGAGTGACTGTGCCGTTCCGAAGCAGTTAGGGAATTCATTCCACCAACTGGGCAGATTGAATGCGAAAGTTCGGGAAAGTAATTTCTTCCCTCTTTGGGATGGAACCACGAGGCGACGTTCATTCATAATGGCATGTGTGCTGCCTTAAAGAAAGTGCCACCTCTGCCAAACCCGGGCCATGTTTGGCCCACATGCTCTATGCCAGTGCTGGATGAAGCTTCGTGCCAAATCTGGCAATAGTGTCTGGATGCAGCCTTTATGATGCAAGCTGAGATTGCATACTTAGCAATGTCAGACACAACGCACTCAATGGAGGGAGTGACATCACTGTGATGGGTGTGGTTTGGGGTGGGGTTAGGTGAGCTCATTAAAAAGCATTGGATGCAGCTCAGATTGCACAGCAAAAGGCCTGCATTCCAGACCCCTCTCAATCTGGGCCAGAATTCTTTGCTGTATAGCAGGAGTGTCCAAACTCGGTCCTGGAGGGCTGGTGTCCTGCACAGTTTAGTTCCAACTTCCTTTAACACATCTACCTGGAGGTTTAGTATACCAAGAAAGAACTTGCCTTGTTCATGTGTGTGTTTAATGGAACCAAACTTTGCTGGACACTGGCCCTACAGGACCGGGTTTGGACACCTCTGCTATAGTATAGAATAGTATAGTAAAGTATAGTATAGTATAGTATAGTATAGTAACAGTATAGTATAGTATACACTGTAAAACCCAACAGTCAACTTTATCAAATGAAATGAGTGTAATTAACACAGAATTGACTGAAAGTTAATTCTACTCATTTGAAAAGAGTTTTGAACTTAGTGTTGAAGGTAATGAGTTAATTAAATACCTCAATACTTCAACTAAAATAGAGTAAGTTCACAGTATATCAATTGTTTTTTTTAACTCAAATGTAGCAATCGGTTTCCTTTAACAGTCTGAGTTGCTTTAACTTATTGGCTTTTACAAGTACTATTAGTTTAAGTTCTCTTCATTTATTGGGTTTTACTGTGCTCAGATTGCTTCATTTACTCAAATGGATTAAGTTCACAGTACTCATTAGGATTGTTGCATTCGGTTTCCTCAAATGGTTTGAGTTACCTTAACTTTTTGGGTTTTACAGTGTAGTATAGTATAGTGTACTGTAGTGTAGTAGCCTAAAGTATATTTTGTGTGGTTTTAATTATTGTTATTTATTATATGTCTGTTAGGTCCTAATATTAATTTTACCTTTAGCTCAATATCTTTGCTATTCAGTCTGTGATATTATGTCGTCCATTACCTCCGTGGATATTTTAAATTTGCAGTAATTCTGGAATCGGCACAACAAAAACACAACAGTCGCTTGTTTTTAAGGAGAATTTTTCGGAAGTAAGGAGGAGCTTTTAAAGACAACTTCCGGTTTGTATGACTGAGGAGGTGGGACTTTGCTAGCCATCGACGCTAACTGCTGGCTATCAGTTGCTGCTCTGTTGTTACAGAAGGATTATTCCTAACTGCGCCAATATCGTCGCGATAATACGGGTAAGTTCCGTTGTTTCTGAAACATTTTGTTCCCACATATGTGTATTTATCCAGACAATAATATTCTAAGAAACCGAAGAGCGTTTTCCAGTGAAGTGAGTGTGCACTAGAGCACGCCTCAAGAGCGCTCTTTTGTTTGACTGAAAAACGGAGCGTCGATTGGCTGCTGTCGTTTAGGGATTGTTTACCGGAAGATTAGCACGCTGCTAAGTATGCAATTCATAATAACAATGTAGATGCAGAAAGCATATGAAAGCTTCTGGTGGATATTTAAACGTTGAAGCTGGTGTGGAAGAATTCATGTACGGTTGATGAATTAATGTCCAAACTTTTCTTTGTCCTCAGTTTAGTGCTCAACTGTAATATATTTGACTGGTAACTTAGACATTCAGTAAGTACGGACAAATGTACATATGTTTATGTGCAAAGTTAACAAAAGCAAACCTGTTGTTTTGGAATATAGTGAAATAATGTGTGATACAAATCTGTAATATTGATGTTCTACCGTGAAACTAAAACTTCATGAGCAGTTTAATGTTACAGCTGGTGCTTTCAGATTGACATTTACAGTATATTTGAAGAAGTTTGTTTAATATACATATTTATACATGTTAAAGATTGATATTTGACAACATACAAATGGTCACTAACTTAATTCAGGTAAAGTTGATTTTAGAGTTGCATGATATAGAAAAATCTAACAATGCGATATATAGAGATATAAATACAATTTATGTTTTTACCATATGACTTAATATCTGTATTTAGAAATAATTTATAGTGTTAAATTAATTGGGATGGTTCTGCAGTGGGAGTGCATCTCTAAAAAATCTGTAAACAATCTTTAGACTTTTTGGGCTGCTCTTTGCAGTGCATTTCTGTTTTTGCATGTATTGTGTGTATTTTCACACATGAAAATCTATAAATACTATCAAGAAAAATATACAATTTAAATAAAATGTTTTATCGTTTCCCAAGTCTAATAGAACTCAAGTACAGTAACTTAATGATACAAATAATTCAATAAAATTAATCCATAGTTAAGGTCACAAATGGTAAAATTTTTATACCTGAATATTTTTAAAATCATTATACAATCGCAGACATCAAAAATGCTTGCAAATGATAAAATATAATACAAACTCAACATTGCATATCCTGCGATTTGACTATTATGAATGATTACATTGCGATATCGATGCTGAAACAATATATTGTGCAGGTCTAGTTAGTTTTATATTCACACATTGATTGAGGGACAACTTGAGACATGGTAAGTAAATTGTTTACCATGCTACTATTGAATATTCGGTCAGAAATAGCTTGCAAGTATGAGTTCAACACTGTATTACCACTATTTAGTTGACTGTGAACAATGTTGTACATTGATAGTCTTTGGCTGCTACTACAATCTTTCTATTTAGAGTTAGCAAATAATACTTTTTCTGAAAATGTCATAATAAGGAAAAAGTCTGAATGTGTGAACATAAAACAAACTTTACCCTAGTAAATTACTTTAGATACAGTTATGGAAAATGAATATGTTAATATTAAGGGTATGAGTTTAGTATAGGGTTTAGTAGGTAGGAGTTAAAATAAATGTTGATATTTATTTTAATCTACGAAGATCTGATAATGTTTCTTTCACATGTAAAATAAAAACATTGGCATTCAGGCTAAATTGTCCAAAATGACCGTTGGACAGAAATACAAATGCTTTTATTTGTTGTGAATTGAAATTCAGGGTTATTCCAGCAAATATTGATAACTTAGCTCTTCTGATAGTTAAACTTTGGTATTTTGTTGTCTATTAATGTCTATTATATATTACATATATATATATATATATATATATATATATATATATATATATATATATATATATATATATATATGTATATGTATATATATTACACCTTTTAGTTTTATATGCAAAATATGCTCTATATCAGGGATTCTCAACTGGTGGGCTGCTTGTGGGCCACAAGATTTTTAGTTGAACTATTTAACATATCCGCATAGTTGTCCAAATTAATGTCCTGTCAGTGTTTTATAACGAACACTCACCCGTACAAGACAATTTAGCGAAGCTGTATTGTTTTTCTGCCATAGAATGTAAAATAAACTTGCAAATGAGCTTCACACGCGCTATGGCAGAGGTGTTCACTGTTTCTGTCAGCGAGTTCCCAATAATATCCAGCTGCAAACTCAATCTCCATCAGATCGCCGCGTTTCTGTATATTTGTCATTTGTCTGTATATTTTTGAATAGTGGATATTTAATAGTGGATAGTCAGTCCAGTTTAAAGTAGAAGCTGTTTTTTTGCAATCTCCCTGTTGACCTGTGGTTCTCTTTGAATTTGTGCATGTTTAAAAAAAAAATTATATATATATAGTATAAGGCACAACAAATGTATTATATATGGATACAAATGTATATTTATATGTTAATAATTAAAAGTTTAAATGAACATTTCATACTAATATTTTAAGTTTTTTTTTATTTTAAATTTGGATTAAATTTAATTTAAGAATGAAAATAATGCAGTTTACTCAAACACAACTAAATTGCAAATCAATAAAACTTTCAAGTGATTTCTTAATATTTTGCATAGCTGTAGGATTCATTAGTCACAAGTTGTGGAAATCCTGCATCTGAAAGGATATGTTTTTGGATTATTGGAACAGGTACTGTCTCAATGGGCTCCAAGAGAAGACGAGCCACCTCTCCCTCCAGCAGTGCCAGCGGAGGAGACTTTGACGATGCCAGCTCATCCACGCCAGTCAGTGGATGGAAGAGGAGGAGAGCCTCCAATGCTCCTTCTGTTGATCAAGTGAGTACATGGGGTTTAGTATGTTAATTAATATTTTACTAAGCACCCATTACTGGTTTTGGCAGTTTGTTTACCTTAACTGTATCCTGCCTTTAGATTGCTGTGTGCCATGAATTGTACAACACTGTTAGAGATTATAAAGATGATCAAGGCAGACAGATCTGTGAGCTCTTCGTTCGTGCACCAAAGAGGAGGTATGAGTGTATTCCTTATCTTTAGTGTACACTGAATGATGATAGTGGTTTATTTAACTGTTTGGTTATTTGAAGGTGGTTAAAAGAGGAAAAACTCTAAATGTTTTACATCCTGCTAATGCCTGCATTTATAAATACAATTTTGCATAGATTGGATATTATGAACAAGTAAAGAAAAAATAAAAAATAAGTGTTTTTATTTTATTTTTTTTTGTTTATTTCAAGATAAATTTTTCTATATGATTATGAAACCATGAGTTCAGTTCAATACACACACTGCCTCAACATTTGCTATTCTGCTTAGTGTAAATGGGACCAACAGTTAATACATGACAATTTAATAGTTAATAGAAATTAAGTCATTAAAAATGCAGCAATATGACTAAAATATTTTTTTTTTATAAATAAATAATTCAAAAAAGGCTCAATTGTAATTGATTGTTTGATTCGTTTTAAGATAAATTTTACAATGTGATGAAACAAACCCTGAGCTGAGTGAATGCAATAGACACTAATCTATGTCTCAATCTCTCCTCATCATTTTCTTGTTTTAGAAATCAGCCTGATTATTATGAAATAGTGAGCCAGCCCATAGACATGATGAAAATACAGCAGAAGCTCAGGGCAGAGGAATACCAGGATGTGGAACAGTTTTCAGCTGACTTTCATCTGCTAATTAATAACACCAAAGCTTACTATCAGGTAAGTTTGCACGTAAACATTTAAGTCCATTAATTATTGATGTTTCTGCCACATGAATAAGCTGAGTCTGTCTTTTATTTTATGCTACGAATGCACATGCAAAGTTGCTCAACATCAAAACAATTCAGAAACACTAATATTCCTCTTATGTTCTCTAACAACAGGCTGACAGTGCAGAGCACAGAGCGGCATCTAAGCTTTTGAACGTCTTCCTATCTGCCAAGAACGAACTGCTGCAGGGTGGGGATGGAGAAGAGGCTGAGGATGATGAGGAAAGTGAAGATGCGGAGAACACAAACGCTTCTATGGAGGAGGAGGTAAAGAAAATGCACTGACAGATGTAGACCTTCAGTATTTTTTTTTTTTAAGATTTCAGTCCATAGACATCCAGACTGATATGATATTTTTTCCTGTGTACATTTGTAATAAACAGAGACCACCAAGCTATTTAAAAGCCATACTGGAGCAGCTCTTGGAGGCCATCGCATCCTGCACTGATTCCTCAGGGAGGCTTGTTAGTGAGCTCTTCCAAAAACTTCCTTCCAAACTGGTAAGACCCAAGCGTGTGCACTTGATTCAAGTCAGACTAATTTGTTACTTTAATAAAACCTAGTTTAGGTTGGATTTTTAGTGATAAATGTTGTTTATTTTCATTGATTAATTTTTCTTTTGTTTGTTTCAGCATTATCCAGACTACTATGCTGTCATAAAAGAGCCAATAGACCTACGCGCTGTGGCTCAGAAGATCCAGGTATTGAAAACACAGTAGCTTAATGTAGCAATATAAACTTGCTGTAATGTGTGTTTGGAGATGTTATGTTGTAAAATTTCAGAGGCTGTTGATGTAAAATATCTTCAATTGTACATATTGATATGCAGTAAATAATAACACTTATCATCTCATGAAAATTTGGTTGAGAAGTATTATAACATGTTAGCATCTTTATTTATTATCCTTTTTTCATGGGTCAGAATATTTGCAAATGGTGTCAGGCGATTCCAGTTATCTTCTTATTTGTTTTGATGTAATTTTAGGTAATTGCAATAATTGTAAATGCACAGTATTTGTACCAGATATAGTTTTGTTGTTTTCTACACTATTCTTCTAGTAATTTATGCATGGGTAGTGAAAAGAAAGCCAAACATTCGCGATTGATTAACCAGTGGAATCTTCTTTTGCTCTGCACATTTCCTACTGCTAGTCATCAACACTCACACAGACAATTTCACGTGTAGACCCACAGAGATGGGCCTTTTGCACCAAAATGCATCAGACTGGAGTTTCTGAATCTTCTAAAATGTCAGAGATTTGGGTTTTACTTTTGCTTTCTAAAGTTGCTGTTGTTTGTATGCGTTTTTGCATTACCTTTTCACAGCTGACTGTGCTCGCACAGTCGCAAGTGAAACATTAAAAGATGAATCATTTAATAAAGGACTCAGATAAATTTTACTACACTTGGAGAGAACAAAATATTATGGCCACAAAATATTAGTTCACCATTAGAAATGGCTAATCAACTAATTTGCCTTGTTTAAATAATCTACTCATTTTATTCTAGTAATTATTATAATTTTTAGCTATAATTTCTTATTTTTATTCCTTTTTTTTGTTATTTATTTCTCATTTGCTGTATATTTTATTAATTTAATGATGGTAATGTATTGCATACTTTATACATATCTAAATTATTTGGCAATACTGTACTAAATGTCTTACCAATAAAGCAACTTTATTTATAGAGAGGAAGAGAGCGGCCTTCACCTGTCAGTGGGTGCACATGGCTCCTAAATAGCATAAAAGAGAAATAGTGTATTTCTTTTATTTCAACAGCCTTTTTATTAACTTTATCCCATTGAAAAGAAAAGGTGTATAACAGGGTCATAATGAATAAAAATATTGCAAAAAATTGTGTTATTTTTTGTCTAATAATTGATCACTTATGTGCTGTGGGTAAAAGGTGCATTTCAATCCAGCTATCACCGCAAGTATATTTCAAACCTGTGGGAAGCACTGAACAGCATATTTCTGCTTTGCCAAATAATGTTCATGTAATATTGATTTTTAGAGTATTAATATGTTCTTCTGTTGTAGGGGGGACATTATAAATCCATCAGTGCCATGGCCAAGGACATTGATCTTTTGGTAAAAAATGCCAAAACCTACAATGAGCCAGGATCTCAAGTTTTCAAGGTTAGGGAACTATATTAACATTATGTACTTTATGCCAATATGCTTCCATTATATATAGATCTAATCCTGCGCAACAAACTCCTTTTTATCTTTCTAAAGGATGCCAACACAATTAAGAAAGTGTTCGCCCAGAGGAAGATCGAGATCGAGCAGGCTGAACCCACTAAATCCAGCCTCCGCATTAGGTAATCTTTCTTTTCTTTAAAGTGATTGCTTTGAAGATGCATATTTATGTTTGTAACATGCTTTTTGTATGTGTTTTGCTAGAAACCGGAGGTCTGCTCAGGGTGATCGTCTGTCTGCCATCACCATGGCTCTTCAGGCTGGATCTGAAAGTGATGAAGACTCCATTCTCACAGGTACATGTTAAACGTTGGCAGTCAATTTGAGAGCGGATGAGAGCGCTAACTATGCTGGACTTATACTATGAATTTTAATTATCGTATAGGATTGTAGCTCATCATACTGTATGAACATGGTCGACATATCACGCTGTAGGATCTAAGTTGTCATAATGTCAGACAGTACATCAATTAAGACTTGCCAAACTTGTACAAGTAAGAAGACTAAGGAGTAGCCCACTTTCTGAAAAGGTACCTAGCTGTAATCGAATAAGCCAAAGTTTTAATTTTGCACATAAAATCCATTTATTAAGACATAATAAAACAAAAAAGCCACTATTTAACATTTTCCTGCAAAAATCTGACTCAAGGCTCTCAAAACTTCTGACACTGCTATCATTATATCTGAAGGAAAATTTAATAACAATTAATTGGCCAATAATTAGCTTTCGGTAAACTTTAAATCAGTGATTAAAGACCACAAATCTTAGCGTAGTATTATAGGAATGACAATATTGTGGCCAGAATCACAGACTGTAAGCTCGGATTTATGACCTAAATGCATTGGCAAGGTCTACAGTAGAATATATATCTGAAAATTCAATACCTTTGACTCTTGTTCTCTCTCTCAGGGACTGTGCGTTATGACACTGGAGAAACCGAGGCCGATTGTGGTCTCAGTGCAGGTGATCCCATCCTTCTTTTGTATCAGGCAGTGCGAGGAGCAAGAAGTGTTCAAGGCCTGCTCCTCTCTGAGCCCTTCCTCCAACTGCCCTCGAGAAGGGAATACCCAGATTACTACCATCAGATCAAAAACCCCATCTCTCTGCAGCAAATCAGGTTTGCATGTGGAACAAATTAAGAAGCCTTTGATTAAAGTCTTTAACGTTATAGTCAATATTTACAAATTGTGTTCATACGTTCTTTATAGGGAAAAAATGAAGAATGGCGATTATGAAGCAGTCGAGCAGATTGAGGCTGATCTCTCTGTCATGTTTGAGAACGCCAGACGCTACAACATGCCTAACTCCACCATATACAAACGTGCACAGAGACTACAGCTCATAATGCAGGTGAGTCTGTTTTGTTAACAAGCTTTTGAAGACCTAACACATTAATGATAAAATGATGGGTTATATCTTTATGTTATTTTTTTTTTTTTTCAGCAAAAGAAAAGAGAGTTTCGAGATGATGATGAAGGAGATGTCTCTACTGCTAATTCTGATGTGGGAAGTAGTAAAAAGAAAAGGTGATTAACTGAAATGAATCTTGCATTATAAATAAATAATTGAATCATCTCTGATTGTCTTGCATTGGTTTCATGATCTGTTTGTTACAGCCACAAGAAGAGCGCCAAGAAAAATCGAATGAAGATGCTGTATGCTGTGCTGACCGATGCCCGTGAGCCAGGCTCTGGACGGCGACTTTGTGACCTCTTCATGGTGAAGCCTTTAAAGAAGGACTACCCAGATTACTACAAAATTATTCAAGATCCAATGGACATGCGTACCATTGAGAACAACATCCGCACTGAGCGTTATAACAACGAGGATGCACTTATGGAGGACATGAAGCTTATGTTTCGCAATGCCCGCCACTATAATGAGGAGGGATCTCAGGTGAGCATCATTATGTTTACATGGACACCAAGATTTCGATTAGATTTTAATATGATTAAGACAATACTCTAATTAAGAGTCTACCATGTAAACAGCGATTTTTCATTACCTTAATCCAGAAAGTCCATGAAATTCACGTTTTGATGAACCCTTAGGTTTATAATGATGCAAATGTCTTGGAGAAGATGGTTAAGGATAAACAGAAGGAGCTTGGCCCTGCTCCAGAGGAAGATGACGTTGGCTCTCCCAAACTCAAGCTTCGTAAGTATTTATTACATCTGCATACTTGAATTCAGACATACTAATTGAGATGCTTATTTTGAATGTAACTTTTATTATTACAGGGGGTCTGTGTGGACTTAACAAGTATTAAAAGTTGATAAATTAGTGTAAATAAATTTAAAGTCCTTTTAAAGTATTAAAAAGTCTTAAATGCTATTTTACAAGGTTTTTTTTTTTTTTTTTTTGCTGAATTTAATCTGTGAATATTGAGATGCTGTGTAGTTTATGAAATTGATAAAATCCTGCTAGATTTGACATCATGTTGCATTGTTTGCTGCAGTAAACAAGGCAACAGTGTTATTTCTGCAGTTCTATAGGAGCCACCTGCTGGATTAGCATTTTTATTTATTCATTCGTTCATTTTCCTTCAGCTTCGGTCTCTTTTTGTCAGGGGTCACCAGAGTGGAATGAACTGCCAACAACTTTGGTATATGTTTTACTCAGCGGATCCCCTTCCAGCTGCAACCTAGTCCTGGGAAACACCCATACACACTCAAATTCACACTCGTACACATACGGCCAATTCTGTTTTACCTAATTCACCTATAGCGCATGTCTTTGGACTGTGGGGGTAACCAGAGTAGCTGGAGGAAACCCACGTGAACATAGAGAGAACATGCAAACTCGAACCAGCGACCTTCTTGTTGTGAGGCGACAGTCCTAACCACTGAGCCACATGCCACCTGTATTTTTCAGTATTTGATAATGTTTTAGTTTTGGATTAGTTTTTTAAAATCTGTATTTAGTATAGTCACTAATGTTTTGTTGAAACAAAAAGAGGTTATGAGGTCTTGAAATATATGGAAAGAGTCATTAGAAAGGTATGAAATTTCACTCTCTGGTTCCTGTATATACCCTGTATTAAGTAAACACTAAATGCCTCTTCTTCTAGGCCGTAGTGGAGTTGCAGTCTCCCCTAAAAAGGCTCGCATCCAAACTACACCACTCCAGCAGAAGCTCAGCGAGCTCTACGAAGCTGTTCGCAACTTCACAGACAATCGTGGCCGTCGTCTCAGCACCGTTTTCCTGCGGCTGCCATCCCGTTCTGAACTGCCTGACTATTACGCTGCTATTAAGCGTCCAATTGACATGGAGCGAATACGCAGCTACATGGTGCAGGGACGCTACCAGGATGTGGATTCACTGGCAGAAGACTTCATCCTCATGTTCAACAATGCTTGTACATACAATGAGCCAGAGTCTTTAATATATCGTGATGCTCTGTTGCTCCATCGAGCATTTCTGGAAGCTCGTAGACGGATTGAGGAAGAGGAGAATGGAGATGAAGGTGGTCTGGGGGGTTTGTCGGTTGCCTCTCTTGTGCGTGAGCTCATCCGAAACCTCTTTGTGTCAATGATGGGGCACCAGGATGACGAAGGCCGATGCTATAGTGACTCCTTGGCGGAGGTGCCTGCAATCGACCCAGCTAACCCAGATGATCCACCCCTTACTTTAGAGATCATTCGCAATAATGTGGATAGTGGCCGCTACCGGAGACTGGATGTCTTCCAGGAGCATGTGTTCGAGGTGCTGGAGAAAGCTAGACGTCTCAACAGGTAAGCAGAGAAGAGTGTGAAAATCAGCTATTCTTGTCATCATTATTTAAACACCATTTCTGATTTATTCATCAGTTTGAGCTCCCCCGTTGTATGATTTTTTGCCCTTTTTTTCTGTGGAATAATAAAAGTATACATTTTAATTACAAGCCAAAATTTTAAGCCATTCAATTACTAACTTAAAGTAATTTTTTTATTTAAAATATTGGCACATATAGACATTTTATAAAATGTTTCTGGTGCTTTTTCGTTCATTTTATTTGGAAAACAGTTGCTTGCGTATTCTGTAAAATAATACTCTGTATAAAGAAAGGATATAAAGGTTAGAACATAACTAAGATGAGAAAAATCTTATATTCTTTATGGTCTATTCAGAGTGTGATGTTAGATTTATGATAGTCGAACTCCCTTTGTTTCTAAACTTCTTTCGTGTTTTCAGGACTGATTCTGAGATCTTTGAGGATTCTGTGGAGCTGCAGCATTTCTTTGTGAAGATCCGTGATGAGCTGTGCAAAAATGGTGAAATCCTGCTGACCCCAGCACTGAGCTACACATCCAAACATCTGCATTCAGACATAGATCAAGAAAAGCGAGAGAAACTGCCCCAGGAAATTGAGGAAGACCAACTGAAACGGGAGGAGGATAAAAAAGGTTTTATGCTTTTGATGTTTAAGGCATTTCTTCACTATTGCTTCTAGTATGTTTAAAGTTATGGAAATACACCCTAAGATACTTTTGCTTCTTGCTTCTAAAATGTTTTTTTATATTGAAATTGTATACGTTTGCTTTTATGATCAATAGCTCTTCCAGAAGGGGACAAAGCAGAGGGTCCTGCGGAAGGTGGCCAGTGGCCATCAGGTTCTCAAAGCTCTTATAGTCAGGACTGCAGTTTTGAAAACAACACCTACAGCATAGGAGACTACGTATATGTTCAGCCCGCAGAAGCAAATTTACAACCCCACGTTGTCTGCATTGAGAAGCTCTGGAAAGATGAATCTGGTGTGCATTCTCACTTATCAGAGTTGCTTGTTTAAGTTTAATTTGTGGTCATCAGTTATACTTTTTTGTTTTTTAATAAAATTGATATGTTTTCTGCAGGTCAGCAGTGGATGTATGGATGTTGGTTTTATCGTCCAGAGGAAACCTTTCATCTGGCAACACGCAAGTTCCTGGAGAAGGAGATTTTTAAAAGTGACTACAACAACCGCGTGCCTTTCAGCAAGATCCTGGGCAAGTGCTTTGTGTTGTTTGTAAAGGTAAGTTTAAATGTTTCGAATTAATCAAATACTTCTGATGATTCATCAAAGATTTATTCATAAATCAAATAGATTTTTTAATGGATAGTTCACCAAAACATGATCATTTTCTGATAATTCAAATCATTTACTCAACCTTCCCTTCTTCAAGACCTATTTGAGTTTCTTCTGTTGAACACAAAAGAAGATATAATCAGTTCCATGCAAATGTCAAGCTTGCCATCATTTTTTTTCTTCCTAAAACCCTTTCCAAGTTTTTTTTTTTTTTTTTTTTTTGTGTAGGCTTGTATTTTACAGGATTGTTGTTATTAATGTTTTCAAATGATAATATGTGATTTACCAAAATCACACGAGTGCCAATTTCACATCTGTCACATCCGTAATGGAGAGACATCCCATCCATAACGAAGCTTTTTCTCGCATAGAGGTGTGAATATTGACTGGTCTCACAGTTCGGTTATGATTATCATTAATGCCATCGATTCGGTTCAATTTGAAATCTCGGTGCATTGACGGTGCTTTCCATACACAATTTGATATTTTACTTTACAGCACAAGAATTATTGAATTAAAATGTATAATTTTTAAATACATTTTCTGTGTATTTGTAATACAATCTTGTCTTTTGATGCAAAGAGTCAGATTTATGAACTGTACCTTCAGTTTTACCTACTTAAGAAAAAAATTCAACATCAAACAAAATTCAAGTACAAGCACAGAACAACATGAGCATTTAAAGCAAATAAACAAACATAAATATTATCTCACTTGCTTTTTGAGCGTTGTCGAGTGAGTTCTTAAATGCTTATGAATGGTGACGTGCTCAACAGAAAGGGCTCTAATGCTCTTGAGATGTTCACTGAGTGGCACTGATAAACTGCTGCGGTGATCACAGCTGATCCATGGTAGGCGCAGAGGAGAAAACCCGCTCTGCAGATACACTTGAGTCTGGAACCACAATCAATGTAACAGCCGAAAGGAGAGGAAGCGTCACGCCAGCAGGTCAAACTGGCCCCAGTGAGAGAGAAATAGATTACTTTCTCCACAGCAGTGAAATAGGGGCTTCTGCTGAATTTTAATTACTTGTGCTCGAATCCCTCACCATGATATTCTACGGCAACATAGCGCTTATGAGATAAATGACTTCAGTACGCAATAACCGGTCAGGATCAATTACTGAACCGACACCAAATTGTTCGCGTCTGCATCGCGGTGCACAGAAGAAACAATTAATTTTGACAACCCTATTGTCTCATTAATGCAAAAATGTAAAGTAAAATAAAATCAATAATTTTTGTTCTATAGTTAGCCAACTCTCATCCTCTTGATTAGCATTGTTTCTTTGGGGTAGTGTAGTTTAATTTACAGAATTTCTACAATGTATGTTGTAAAATGTAAACTTGCTAACATTTTTGGTCACATCCATAACGCATGTTTATTTTTATCGTTTAAAATAAAAAAAAATTACAGATTGGTATTTTCTGGCCCCATAACTCTGTGGTTAGTAGTTTTTGGAAAAAATAAACAAGTTTTAAACATGTTTCATGTTAACATAAACTTTCTCTGTCAATTTATGTTTAGATTTTTACTGCAAATGTCACATCCATAATGCTGGAATTGCTCAAATTTTGAAAAATGCTATTAGCCTTTATTTTTCCTACTATGAAAGTCAATAGATCCCGTCAACCACCATTCTTCAAAATATTTTCTGTTGTGTTCAACAAAAGACTCTAATATAGGTTTAAAATACATGAGGGCGAATAAATGAGGTAATTTATTTAGATTTTTTTGTTTGTGTGTGAACAACCAGCTTAAATTTTACCTTTTTCTAACAAGCTCTTAAAGTATGGTGAATGTGGATTTGTTTTTTAGGATTATTTTAAGTTGCAACCAGAAGGCTTTAAACCCGAAGACGTGTATGTCTGCGAATCCCGATACACTGTTAGGACCAAAGCCTTCAAGAAGATCAAAATATGGTCCATGCCACCCAACTCTGTCAAACTGCTCCCCAGAGAGGTTCCTTTACCTGTAGTTCGAGTCGCCTCCATGTTTGTCGGTGCGAAAGACAAAGCAGCTGACCTTCCTGATGGAGAGAGTGGTGGATTCATTGAGAAGGTACAAAGAAAATCTTTTTTTTTTTTTTTTTTTTTTTTTTTTTTTGGTTTTCTTGAGTTTAATCCTGCAAATATTCAACACAGGAGCGAGAAGACGTTCCAGTTGAAGTTCCCAACGGGGAGCTGGGTTGCCAGTATTATGAACAGCTCCGCTATAATGATATGTGGCTCAAGTTGGGCGACTGTGTTTACATACGCTCCCATGGGCTGGTGCGACCACGAGTTGGCAGGTAGACAAATTTATACTTTGTATTATCCAAATACCTCATCTTAGAAGTAAAAAATTACTAGCAATATGTTTACATAAATATTTTGAGTTGTTAATGGTTAATTCAATTAAAGTTTATGCTTGTTGCGTTTTTCACAATAATTATTGCTTCAAAAGGTGCACATTATTGTATTACAATCAAATCTATTTTTGAATTAATATTGAAAGGATTGAGAAGATGTGGCTGCGGGATGGAGCTGCATTTTTCTTTGGACCCATCTTCATCCACCCTGAAGAAACCGAACACGAGCCGACAAAGATGTTCTACAAACGTGAAGTTTTCCTCAGCAGCCTGGAAGAGAACTGTCCTATGACCTGTGTTTTGAGTATGCTGTTATTCATTTTAAGACATTCTGTATCAGTCTGCTGTCCATCCATGACTCAAAACTCGTCAAACTGTGGGTGTTCAAGCTGTGATAATGAAATTGTGCCAACCATTCTTATCGCATTCTGGTGCTTCTGTGAAATGAGTCTCTCGGCATGCTAATGAACACAAAGACACTGGAAATACAATTAAGCCCTGCTTCTTGTAAAAGTCTCCAGTGATTTTTATGGTGTGAGACAAGCCACCTCAGTATCCTGAACGGATAATTAAAGCAGTTCGGGATCGCTTGGTGAGAACAAAAAAGCAGTCAAGTGAAATAAATTACAGTATATCCGCTAGCAAATATCATGTTAAAACTTATTACTGTGCTTAGCCACAAATGGGATATATGCAGCCGATTAAGTTTTTGAACATTTCCATTTTAGTTCAGCTTTTTCATTTTTTAGTTTCTTACCCTCAAGACTGTTTGAAATCTTCCTACAGTGCTAGTTTTAAACCTTCTCTCCTTTTTTCCTCAGGGAAATGTGTGGTGTCTTCCTTTAAGGACTTCCTTTCCTGCAGGCCAACTGAGTGTCCAGAGGAAGATGTGCTTCTGTTTGAAAGTCGCTATATTGAGAGCGAAAAGCAGATGAAGAAGTTTAAAGCCCTTAAACGTTTCTCCCTCTCAGCCAAAGTGGTTGATGATGAGATCTTCTATTTCAGGTGCATTTATTTCCTACATTTTTTGCAGTGGGAAGTATTCAAGTATTTTTCCAGCGCAAGGAAGTTCTTTAGTATGTCTTGTTACTTTATCTTGTTGTAAAACTGCTATTGTGCTAAACTGATGTTCAGTAAATACTTTTGGAAACATCCTTGCACAGTCAAATGCACAGCATTTTAAAGTATACTTTGTTTGATGATATTCCAGAACAATCCACTTTAAACATCCACATTAGAAAAAAATCATCCTTGTCCAGGGATTACATTGATTTTCTTTCCGAATGAAAGAAGCTACAAAATGTTGTTTCTTGTTTAAATTAAAGTTTAGAATATATTTTAATCCCCTCATTTTGCTCTTTTGTAAAAACGGTAAAACCAGTGTGGACACAATGGGGCAAACTAAAGATGCTTTTCCACTATTGTGCTAAATGTTTTAGTACAGTCAGAAACCTTGAACCTTGTTTAGCATGATCACAAACCATTCATTCATTCATTTTCTTTTCGGCTTAGTCCCTTTATTAATCAGGTGTCGACACATCGGAATGAATCGTCATCTTAACCAGCATATGTTTTATGCAGTAAAATGTCCCTCCAGCTGAAACCCATTACTTAACACCTATACACTCATTTACACATGTACACTATGGACCATTTAGCTTACCTAATTCACCTCTACCGTATGTCTTTGGACTTCTGGGGGAAACTGGAGCACCCGGAGAAAACCCAGGCAAACACAGGAAGAACATGCAAACTCCACACAGAATTACCAACTGACCCAGCCGAGTCTCAAACCAACAAATTTCTTGCTGTGAGGTGACATCGCTACCCACTGCGCCACCGCACCGCCATTACAAACATTTCTTGGCACAAAATTCTAGGCACATTTAGGCAACCATGCTGAACTTGTAGGACTCATTTGCATTTGATGTAGCCACTCTGTTGTCTGGATACTCTCCATAGTAGGCTTAACAGCAGTGCGCTGTTTATTCATTCATGTTTTAGCTATTGAGCAAAGGAAATATCGGTAAAAAATAAAAATAAAATAAATTTAAAAAAATAATAATAATAATAAAAAAAAGAGTCTTAAAATCAAAAATATCTAATCATTATCCAAACATGCGCTGTTTACAATACAATTACATTGCCAAGGCAACAACTGACGCATTTCTATCACATTCCACATAGCTCCGTTATCAGCACCACCATAGAAAAAGAAACTGTATCAAATGGAACTGTTAAGCAAAGAGAACCGTTCAACCTCATGCTGGAAAAGCAGCTTTAATGCAAAAAAAAAACAATTCTGATAGCTTGTGCATTCACAAAAATCATGTGGGTCACACTCAGTACTTGTGTGACAAAATTTGCAATCACATAGTTATTAGCCCTCCTGTGATTTTTATTTTTTTAATTTTTATTTAATTATTTATTTTTTAATTCTTTTACAAGTATTTACCAAGGGGAAAATATTTACTTGGGGGAAAAAATATACAGGGAGCTAATAGTTCCGACTTCAACTGTATGTGTAAACACTTTTTATTTATAGCTTTGAAATCATTAGTTGAGTTTAACCCCACTCTGATGCATATAATTAATTTTCATTTCAGAAAACCTATCGTACCTCAGAAGGTGCCATCTCCCCTGCTAGATAAGAAGATTGAGGAGCTAGAGGCTAAGTTTGCGGACATGGAGGATCTGGATGATGATATGGATGACCTAGATGATGACGACGAAGAAGCAGCCGCAACGCCCTCAATGCCACCCAGTCAGGCGTCCACAACAAGTGACATGGATATGCCTTACACACCACCACAGGTGCCATATATGTTTCAGAGATGTCAGCCATTGCTCACACTATCCTGTTTTACATGCAAAATAATTTAGATTTTTTTTCTGTTATGTACACATGCTGCAAATGTGTTTACCTCATTTGCCATAAGCAAGTTAACGCCAATATTCTGGGCTCTACAAACAAGACAGATGGTGTTTGTCCATCTATTGGAAACATGAATCATTTATAATGTGCTTTTCATCAGTTCTCTGAAGTAATTTCACATTTAGATTATGAAACTCTTATTTGAATATGATTTGGCTAAGCTTTATTCATATTTATTAATAGTTGTCATCTTTTCTGTTTCCCCTCTGCTCAGTCCACACCAAAGATAAAGGGTATGTCCAAAAAGGAAGGAGCCAAGCGTAAGATCAACATGAGCGGCTACATCCTGTTTAGCAGTGAAGTGAGGTCTCTAATAAAGGCTCGTCACCCTGATTTCTCTTTCGGAGAGCTGAGTCGTCTGGTGGGCACAGAATGGAGGAATCTGGAAGCTACTAAGAAGGCGGAATATGAAGGTACATCTTCAGTCCTTACTGAGAGCATGTGTTAGTCCTGGTTACCATGGATACTAATATATTAAATTGCCAGTCATGGTCGAAGCTAAATAGTTTTAACAAGGCACTGCAAAGATCACATGCAGTTCAGTCAGAATGTAAAAGGGCTGTATCTGGAATCTCAGATGTAATGTTCATGTTCACAGTGAGAGATTTAGCTTTAAAAAGAGAAATAATCTATTTATTTGAAATCTTGAAATTAAAATGGTTTATTGACCGTGGAATAAATATGATTTTTTATGCATATTTTGTTTATCCATGTGCTTATGTTTTTCATCTAAATGACTTCCCTACTGCTAGTGTTTACTGATGGAAGCGAGGGACAACTTGTTACAATGAGGGTGTGCAATACTGACAATTTATTTTGGGGGGATTTTTTACCCAATAATGATTATTCAACAGTTGTGTAGTAATTTTGACTGGTTTAGGGCTGGTTTATACTTCTGCGTCGAGTGATCGATATGACCCACGGTGCCTGCCTTGTGCGTAGCCGTAGAGTTTATACTTTTGCATGCTGTTTGCGTTACACTGCAATAACACTCCCGAAACACTAGCTGACAGTTGGTTATGTCCCTCTGTATCGAGTTTCCTAGCAGGTGTTCTGTGTTTTTTAATGCTACCTTAATGTACAATTAGGTAAAATGCACTTATTCAGAGGTTGGAACCAGCGGTCATGCAATAACTTTAATCATAAGGTAAACAAAAGCTGTAGCTCCTTCATGGGACTCGACACTTGTAAGCACTCGCTCCATTGGGTTCGCGGCTCTCTGCACCTCCCACACTCACAGTTACCCAGCTGACCAATCACAGAGCTTGCGGTATGCATTGTTGCGACGTGTAGTTACATTTTTGAGAGGGCTATGCGACCACTCGAAGACTGTGCTTGAGCTTGAATTATAAATCAGCCTTTAGGCCTGTTAAGTATATTTGAATAAGACACGAAAATGACATCTTAATGGTTAAAGACAAAAAATCTTAATGCTAGTTTAATGCATGTTTGTTGAAAACAGCTGATTAATTTATTAACCAAACAATATCTCTATTAGTGGATCAGTGAAATATTGACACAAATACAGATTGCTTTAGTATTGTGACCCCTACAAATGTTCTGCTCGAGCTTTGTTTTAAAAAAAAGAAATCATGGGTGAAATATGATAAAATGGGCAATATTGTGATAAAAATTTAAACACCTTTACACCTGGGGTCCGTTCTTCGTACGTGGATTACTCAGTTAGCTGGATTTGGATATTGACGATTTGACACGATCCAGGATCGTTTCGTTCTTCAAAGCTGATCTGAGAGTTGTTGTCATGGCAACAGATCTGCTTGGTCAAACCTGATCGGGAGCAGGTTCAATTCATATAAACAGGATTAGATCGGCTCAGTTCAAGCAAAGATAATACAGAAAGTATGTACCGAGTTTTGATATTTTCTTACAGTAAAAGTTATATACAATTGGGAAAATAGTAGTTTTTAACTATATAAATAAAGTTATAGTCATTAATAAAATAAATAAAGTTTTACATATTAATAAAACGTATGCAATCTGCACCCTCGAAATGAAAGTACATAGACTGCCACCTGGTGGTGCAAAGAGAAAACTTATTGATATGAACTTTTTAGATCGCTTTAGTACAAATTGTGTATAATAGAAATGCACAATATGTCACTTTTTTTTAAAAGCAATAATACATTTATGCAGTCATAAACATGTTTTGACAGTTAATATGCCAGTGATTTGATGCTTCACAAAAGTTGCAGACGCCTTTACCAAAATCAAAATGCTTTTGGAAACAACCAGTTATTCTTTACACCGATTAAAAAACGGCTACTATAATAAAGAAAATCTTTTCTAAATGTAGAACTAAATACATTGATTTGCATTGAAATACATGATGAATACTCTTGTCTTGACAAATGAAAGTGTAAAGCCTGCAGCTCAAAACAAATGTGAAGTTACTGCGTGTCATATTTTACAAGCCGTTTACTGCTAATTTGATGTAATTTTGCTCACATGGATAATTGAATATTAATCAGATGATGTCATTACGCTGCTGTGCCGTCAGCCAATCGTTGCATTGCTGATCATGATTTCGAGGATCGATCGATCTGTCCTTAACAACACACGCAGCGATCTCAGATCAGTTCATCCAGACATTCTAATCTGATTCGCGAACTTGTTTGAAGAACCAAATAAGCGAGAGATCAGTTATCAAGATTAAAAGATCCAGGATCTGCCAAATCATCTTAGATCATTTAAGCGAGGTACGAAGAACGGACCCCTGCACATGCGCATACAATATTATTGTTTACATAAGTCTACGCTGCAGTTTTGTCATCTGCTGCTTTAAATGTTTAGGCTCTTTAAAGCAAAAAAAACACTGATGCCTGATCATTGGTCACCAGCAGGGCAAATAAATTGTTGTGATTCCAACTATATTGTCCTAGTTGTTCTTTATATTTGTATTAACTTCTTGTTCATCAAACTGCTGTATGAAATCAAATTGTATTTGTGATCATTACACAATGAATGCTTTAGGACTTTTTTTTTGGAATTTAAGTGACTTGACACTGTGTTTGCACATTGTTAAAGAAACAGTTACAACATTATTGATTAAATATCACCCTCAAATAAGATTACATCAGTATTAAAATACAGCAGTCCAATACTGTTCCACCATTCTTTCTTTTTCTTTCACTGCAAGATCTTATTCATGCCGACTTTAAATAAATAAATAAATAAATAAATATAAAATGTCATGATTTGTAGATTTGTTTACTTTACTGGGATCTATGGTATTCTTTCCCCTTTTTAACTATGCGACGCACAGTATAAGATGCTATGCTGATGGAATTCATCTATATGCCAGCTCTTTATCTCTTGATAAGATTGTTCATGAAGATTGTAATTAATTTGCCAATGTTTTGACAGAACGGGCAGCTAAACTGGTAGAACAGCAGGAGCGGGAGAGGGTCCTTCAGCAGCAGCATCAACAACAGCAACAACAGCAGCAGCAGCAGCAACAACAGGCTTCCCCAAGAGCAGGTACCCCAGTCGGCACAATGATGGGGGTGGTACCTCCCCCAAGCGCTATGGGGATGCTTAACCAGGCCATGCCACCTGTCCCAGGTAACGCCAAATCCCCCGACCCATGCTGAAAGTGACAGACGCAGCATCCGGGCACCCTCCGACAATTCTCATCCATTTAAATCCATCTCAATCCTCAACCCATCAACCTCAATCATGTCACTATCTGCCCCATACCAACCAAAAGTCTACCCCATTATTGTCAATTCAGTTCATTTCACTAAATATCTTTTGTGTGTATGATTTTTTTTGTTTGTTTGTTTGTTTTTGAATATTGCTACCTCTTTTTTTATTCCAAGTTGCATTTTTCTTTGAGCATGACAACCTTTTTATTAACCCATAAATGTCTAGAGTTCCTGTTTACATGCCTGAAATAACCATGTTTGAATATTCACTTGTTAATCTCACCCTTTCGTAGACATTGACATGACTGTTATTTTGTAGTTGCATGACTTGTTTAGACTGCTGCATGTCATCAATGCATGGATCTTTTTGTGCTATCTTCTCCTCACCCAAGGCATGATGGGAAATTATGGCCCGCCCTACATGCCTATGCAGGGTCCTGAGGGCATGATGGGCATGGGTGGCACTCCACCTCATCTCATGGGGGTGCCCCAGCTGCCTTCCCAGCACTACCTTCTACCAGGCATGGCCGGGTACCCTGGTATGCCCCATCCGGGTAAGAAGCACCCTGATTAATCAGGAACTCCACCTGAAGATCTTCTGAGCAGCTCCAATCCAAATTGGGGGGAAATTTTTAATTTTTTATCATAGCCATAGCTTTGTTCCAAATACTAGTGAACTAGTGCCTAGACATCGACACTTTTTTTGGTTTTGAAACAGAAGACTGTAGAAATGCTTGTCCCTAGACTATATCTGTATCTCTGCATGATCTAATTTAAGTTATCCCTTGTTCATAGAGGGAGAATATTCACACAACATGACTAACACATATTTTCTTAGTTTAATTAGTTCACAAGATTTGTCATCTCCACTTTTCTACTCACTGACTCCATTAAGTCTCTGGCTGTGTTTCTACCTGATATAAACATGCATTCGTGGTGAATAGATCACAAGTGGCTTTAGATTCTATACATCACTGTCACAGCAGCTCTCATTGAGACTGCTGAAGAAACAAAGCCATGTTATGCATTTTAGAAGAGAGTAGGAAAGCAAGTGAATGAAAATGCTGTTGTTAGCAAGTATGATTTAAATCGTAGTCCATCTGTTTTGCTAAAGTGCAGTTAGGTATGCATACCCTGTCTTGGCATGCTTTCTAGAAACTTCTCAATGATGGCATGTTCAGTCGGTATGCAGAGAGGAGTGGTTTAGGGGCTGTTCAATTTTGCATAATAAAAGCAAACGGACTTAATGCTTTAAACCCAAAGAATTTCTTGAAGCTAAACAATCTCAGAAAATTCAGACTGATGAAAATGCATCTTAAAATAAGGTGTAAACAGGGCCTTGGTTTTATACAAATACAAGCTTTTTGTTTGGTGATAATTTAAAGGCACACTATGTAATTTTTGCCACTAGAGGGGGCGTGTTTACAACAAACAAAGGTGTAAATGATGGCTTTGTTGGCATGTGGCTCGCAACGACAAGTGAACAGTGACCTCCATCTAGGTGGGTTGTTGCTAAATCAGATATGGTTGTGGCTGGAAGTTAACAAGAATTATTTATTAAATTTCCCATTTATTGTATTTTATTAATGCCAACGCCCAACCCTAAACCCAACCGTCACAGTAACGTAAAAACAGTAGTTGTACCGATTTATTTTTGTTATCTATTAAATTCCCCTATAAATTGTATTTTTTTAAAAGCCTACCCCCACCCCAACCCTAAACCAAACCGTCACAGTATTTTTAAAATATAAATTATTTTTATACAGTGTCATAAAAATGCTACTATAATTAATGTAAATATCGCACTTCCGGCCGGCCGCGTATCCGATCTAGACTTTACCGTCTACACGAGCAACAGTCGACCAGGTGGGCGTGTCGAGCAGCAGGCAAAGTTGAGAATCCTTTAACTTTATGCAAATGAAGAGCAACTCTTAAGTGATCCTCTCTTAGGTTGCTCAGAGGCTGTTTGTATTCTCTGTGCTGTAGACCTTAACAGACCTGCGTTTGCAGCAGATCGTCACCCAGAGCGACAGGCAGCTACAAAGTCGCTGCTAGTGGGAATGAGGCATTAGCTGTCAGTGTTTTTTTATTTACAAAGGTGTAATTTGATGGCCTTGTGGCTGAGTGTGGAATCATGGGAGTTGTTGTCGTCATTACATTCTACAAGAAAACATATTCACAGCTTCTTATCATGGTAGTATAAAGCAGAGTTAGGCTGAAATTCAACAAAGCAAAACAAGAGCCTGAACAATTGCAGATATGAGACGAGTGAGCGAAAAGAGGTAGATATTTTATTATTCCACAGTCGTCCACTTCAGTTCTTCCGATTGTGATTGTTTTATGCTGAATACATTTTAAGGTCCGTCTAATGTAATGCATGACATATTAAAGCATCTTTGGTGTTTCCCTGAGGGTGTGATGTCAATAGCATTATGACAAAATTACAGTTTTTTTCACTAGTTAAAATAGCTTATTTCTCTAGATTTGAGCATTCTTTAAAAAATTTGGGATAAATATAGCTACGTAAATCCGCAAAAGCATTGATCTTGTGGTTTTTGGATATTTAAATGAAATAATCTTACATATTGTGCCTTTATCTAATAAAAAAACATTATTTATCCTGTCAGTGTGCATTATTTATAACTTGTTTAGTCATACTACATTTCCATATTTAAAAATATATGTTTCTTTCATTCCTTCTCAGGTGTGATGGTCCCAGGAATGAATGGAAGCCCTGGTCCCGGAAACCCGTATGGCATGCAGGTTAAGATCATATTTTTTCAGCTTTCAGAAGTGATGCTAATGCAGATGCAAATTGTAATCTCTTTACTACTTTTTGTCTTCTCAGATGGCTGGATATGGACCCGGACAGCAAGCTCCACCCCCATATCCAGGTCAAGGTCAACCAGGCCATCAACAGCCAGCCCCACCTATTTTTGTTGCTCCGCCTCCAAAACCCCAGCGTCTCCTGCATTCAGAGGCGTATCTGAAGTACATTGAGGGCCTCAGTGCTGAATCCTCCACTGTTAGCAAATGGGACCAGAGCCTTAAGGGTAAAATGAGTTTGCATATGTAGGGTTATTAATTTTTTTTGTTTTTTATTTACCGAAGATGCATTTAATTGATTCTAAATTTCTATTCATACTTCTGTTTTCAAGAGTTCACACTTAGATATTGCTTGATAATATTAGCAGATTTGGCAAGCTTATCCTGGGAGAGAACCCTAGGCTTGGAGATAATTGAGCCTAGGGCTTCTGCCTGGTCAATGAACGCGTAAGGGGGTACGAGATCAGGTAGTTTTCGAGAGCTCCCCTGGTAACGGGGAAAGGGAAGATGGGGTGGATCGGGGAGATTCATCAAAAACGAAGATAAAGCAGGATTGCTAGATGGGATATTTATTCTAAGTTTGGAATAATTTGATTGGCTTGCTAATGAATATGGATGAGAGACCAGCCGTGATCAATCATATCACATGCTTCTCTCGAAATTATGGCTCATTCACATTCTGTCGTATGGCGGTGTGAAAAGGGGCGGGATTAAACACGATGATTAGCCATTAAAAAAAGCGAGTGATTGGATGTTTTAATTTTCTGCCGAGATAGGTCATGTTTTGATCTTTGATTGGTCTCACGCAATTATGTGATGCGATTTCGCAGGTTAGAGTTGACCAAGCTTGAACTTTCCTACGCAGTGAACTGTGTCGCACAAGCCAGGGGTTCCCAAACTTTTCAGCACGCTACCCCTAAAATAAAAATACCAGTGACTCGCGACCCCCAATATCCTCTGAGGTGGTTATAAATACAGAAAACTTGCATGCAATGGCGCACACACACACCAATAGACCAAAGTCTATTCTTCGTTTATTTTTTATTTTTTGTATGTCAATGCTGTAAATGGGCCAGAAAGTTTAACCTGGTGTTATAAAATCAATCTGCTGCATCTGACGCTATTGTCTTTAATATAATGTAATTACCCCAGGGGTCGCAATCCAATAGAACTAGTAAATAAGCTACTATAGTAACTATAAACAACTGTTTTTTTCTCTTCAGTTGGTTATGGATAAAATATGGTAATTCTTATGGCCTAATAATAATAATAAGTAGATTTTTGGAAATCACTAGGCGACCCCCCCTTCATTGTTCCGCGACCTCTCAAGGGGTCCCGACCCCCACTTTGAGAACCACTGGCATAAGCTAGCGTTTCCAGTTTGACGCATTCACGTGCGTATAATGGAAGTTTATAAGGAGAAAAATGCTGTGTGTGACCGCAGCTTTTTCATTTTGTGAAACATCACTTAATGCATTTCTTTTGCCCACTTTAACATATTTTTTATTTTTATGTTTTGGATGGGTGACTGGGCTATTTCTGAACTTTCAAATTTAGCATTAGTCAAAATTAGGTTGTGCAGTTTACATAAGAACATGAAAGAAGACAACGGAAAGCAATATATGCTCTGTAAACTGCAAAACTACTAGAATTGTTTTGATTTGTGTTAGAACCAGTATACTGGTAAGAAAACATTGTGATTTTTACTTTTTTTTGCTTTCAGACCAAGCTTAAGATGTCAAACAGCAAAGTTTAAATTTCATCCGGCTTGCACACTTCTGGGATATGTTATGTTTAATAATTAGGTCAGTTCATGGACACAAGGTGGTCTTCAGTGGCTTGAGTATTTACATTACAAAAGCAACCCACTCAAATCAGTTCTTTTTTTTTATCATTTGAAGTGGTCAAAAGTGTCCAGTCTTAACATTTAGACCTGTGTTTAGTATTGTCCCACAAAAATGCGTCTTAGCCAATGTAAACAGGGCATTAGTTCTTAGACTACCATTGACATATGACATTACTGCCATTAACATCTTTAACATTGTGTTTTTTTTGGCATTTATTTACTTTATTTGTCATTATTTTATATGGATACTATTATAACATAACTTTGTGATGATTATCTTTCTGGTTATCTTTGCTTCAGCACAGAGAAAAGACTGCCGGCTTAGTAGGGAACAGGAGAGTCATCTCCCTACTCACTGGCTGAAAAGCAAAGGCGCTCACACCACGATGGCCGATGCTTTATGGAGACTCCGAGACCTGATGATGAAAGACACGCTCAACATCCGACAGGCGTACAACCTTTAAACCTTTACCTTTTACCCTAAACTCTCAGGACTCTAATTTATGCAAGACTTTTCTCCAACCAAATCTTTCCCATCATGACTCAAGATGTGATCAAGTGTTAATGTACTGTCGCAAAAGTGCTTCAGCAATAATTATATCTATCAGTTGTGTGTGTGTAAATGCGTGTGTGAAGAGAAAAATAAACATTTTCCCACCTCTTTTGATATATATATGGAGCCCTGGAAAGAAGTCACACTTTTTTAATTCATAACTAACATGGATTTGATATTTGTCATTTGGACTGTTACCTCAATTAAGGTTGAGTTTATGAATACTACATCACAAGTCATCACGAAGTTTTACATCTATGACTATTCTAAAATGCTTAATATGAGTTGTTGAAGAACACAGTAGCATTTTATAAAGATGTTTTCTTTTTATACGGAGGTAAAACTACATGAGCTCCTACTTATTTTAATGATAATGCAATTTGTTATTTTTACACTGTGTACATACAAAAAAATTGTGTGAACTGTTGCTTATTGAACACTGCTGCATTAAAAAAAAAAGACAAAACTGTGTCAATTACACCAATAAACGGCATTACAGATGGATAAAGTGCGCTTCAAGTGTGTCCAAAACATGTTTGTGAGAGGATTGAGTTTCAAGCCCCTCCACCCGCCACCACTGTAACACAAGGCCCGCTTATTAACCACAAAATTTATCTCAGCAAATACAGTTTACCTTTAAATATGAGTTGTTAAATATCAGAACTGCTCGTTAATGTTATTGTTAACCATTAAAAACAACGTTTTCACAATTTTAACCCCACAAACGGGCGGCATGATGTCATTTCCTGGCAGGGGCGGAAAATATCGGGCTATTCTCTTTAGTGTTTGCCCTGTCCACACTCACCCTCTCTACCTCTTCCCCGTATTTTCATACTAAACCATTCTAGAACCCCTATAAAAAGGACGAAAGCGAACAGACACTACGCTTTAACATCTTATCTCATGGAGTAAATCACAGCCGGAGAGAAATAAAACCGAGGTGAGCTTTTTTTAGCCGGAGTTGTTGAGATGCGCGAGCTGCTAGTGCGTTAGCTCGAGCCATTCATATTGATCTGAGAGGATTTTATCGCTTAGTGCCATGGATGCTTTCTAACCAAGATGCATATGTAATAATATTTTGACTGATTAGGGTTATCATGCTTGTTAAATGTATAACGTGTTTGTTTAGCCGGCTTTTATACTTTGCTTTGCAGGGGTAGGAGGAGGAGTCTGACAGCTGATATTTATTTTTCTTTTCAACATAACCGGCTTCTGCGTTGGCTTTTTAAAAGCTATTTTAGTATACATTTCATACTTCAGTATACACTAGGCGATATTATACTGCAAACACCCATTATGTTCAGCCTGTGCTAATGCTAATATGCGAAATAATCGGTTTAACTTAATGACACTGATTGAGTGTGCAGTGTTGATGCGTATTTTGTATTTGGCAAACTTTATTGCAAGGGGATGTATTTTTTTCTTTTTGTGCTGTTGATCGGGTTTCCTGAAGCTGTCAGCCAGTAAGAGCTGGTTGCCATGTTACTTTAATATGTTGATTTTCCGTCTTGATATTTGCCATCATTGCAGTAACCCTAGAAAGTCTACAATATCACATTTGATGCCTGAATTGTTGATGCTTCTATCAACATGCTCTCAACGTTGTAAACCTGGACCACAAAAAAAAGTCTTAAGTGGAAAATGAGATTTAAACATTACCTGAAAGTTGAAATAAATAAGCTTTTATGGATTTCTTTTACACATACAATATGTTTTTGTCTATTGTCAGAAATATACCCATGCAACATAAGAAGGTTTTGTGGTACAGTGTCACACTTCTAAATTTACAATTAGTTTGTGTTTGGTTGGCTTTATTTGATTATTTTTGGTAAGTCTGAGTAAGAATAACTAGTCTATAATTCTAGCTATATTTAAAGATGAACATTTAGCTATTGAAGCAATGTTTACTTCATTATCCTTTTTTAAAATCCTGTCAAATACATGTTTGAGTATTAAAAATGATCGCATTATTTCACAATTTCTTGCTAACTAACTTAAATTAGGTTTATATTGCATTATTTAAAAACAAAAGTTAACATTTAGGTTTGAGTATTGAAGTCAAAATTAAGCTTTCTATTTTCTTTGTCAAATTCTACAGTCTACATTCACCAAATCTTCTATTAAAAGTCTTGTGAAGTGCATTTTTTTATTTAGTGTTTGATGGAGAGGGGTCTGGATGCAGACCTGGTGCAGTGCAATCTGAGCTGCATCCAATGCTTTTTAATGCGCTCACCTAATCCCACCCCTAACCCTACACGTCACAGTGACGTCACTTACTCCATTGAGTGCATTGTGTCTGACATTGCATCGCTGAGTGATGCAATCTCAGCTTGCATCATAAAGGCTGCATTCAGATACTACAGGTTTGATGTTATCTCAACTGAAATATAAAGAGAAGGTGGAAACAGTGTAGCTCCTCCCCTTAAAAAACAGCCAAAAGCGTTTTTGTTTATCAAAGCTTTTTTTTTTATACAAGAAAAGTAACATCACTTCATTGAAGAAAAAGTACAGTAACAAAAAAAATAGAAAAGAGAACAAAAAAAAACATTTATAGAATTTAGCATTTTAAAATGTAATTCAATTTTGCATTTATAGAATAGGTGAAATAAAGTTTTAATGTATATTGCCGAAAGTACACAAATTAGATAAAATAATTAGCAATTTTGAAATTTGGCCAGTGAGAGTGGTTGAGCATCAAATGTGAAGCATCTTGAAGGCGGCGGGGCATATCAGACACTAGAGAGCATTTGATTGGTCCCAATTTGATTAGAAACTGTAGTATGAGGTGACGTGAAAAAAACGTTGATCCATTTGTGAGGAAGTGACAAACTGCAAGCTTTACATGTTTATAGCCGTTTTATATCTCCTAAATGTGAATTTCATCACTGTTATGTTGCGCACTAGCTTATAGATATCTTAAAACTGAACAATACTGATACTAAAATCTGAAGAAATGTATTTTAATTTCATGGGACCTTTTAATATAATCAATTTGCTTTGGAAATGCAAATGTAGAATTATTTTTTTGTCAACTGATTAAACATAACCTCATTCTAATCTTTATCATTTTCATTTTTTTGTCTCTGTAGGTAGAGCTTTGCAGTCGTTTTTTACTCTACAAACCCACAATCTTCATTCTCTTTCACACACAACTCTCTCTGTAATATTCGCTTCTTTCCCGACTGCAAGGTTTATATCTGGTCATTCAATCAACCCACCTCTCTACAAGCCAATCAGAATGTCACAGCTTCAGTTCCAAGCGCCTGGCAACCCTGCACCCAGCAGCGCCCCTTTACAACTGGCCCCGCCCCAACCTGGGTTCAGCATTCCCTGCGGGACCGCCCCCTTACCCTCAGAGAGTGCCAGTCACCCACTGCGAAACTCCGCTCTGCCTTCTGCCTCAGCCACGCCCTTCTGCAACCCTACAGGTGAGTGACGGTGCTGTTTTAGAAATTATTAAGCATTTTATTTATAAAGAAAGTTTTTATGTGTTCATTTCAATTTTATGTATTTGTTTTTCATTTTAATTAGTTAAATTGAGCGATTTTGCTGGTGCCTTTTATATAAAATATAGTTTATCTATATCAGGGGTCCCAAATTGCCGGCCTGCAAGCCATTTACGGAAAGCTCTCCTCTTCCATCCGGCCCGCAACTGGCGTCAAAAATATAACAATATTTGGCCCGCCAGAACATATATTTTTGAACCACTATCATTGTTGTGCAGTCTCATCTAGCCACTTGTGGTTTTGACCCGCCACCTAGTTGACATTTACTACAGTACTACAGTCAGATTAGTTTTACTTTCATTTTTACTAAGTGCGTGGTCAAGTATCCGCTTGTTAAGTGGTGACGTATGTAATACTGTTTCCGGGTCCAAACCGCCATTCATTTAAGTTGAGAAATCATTCGATTATGATAACTTTTTATTCATATCACATATTAAAGTTAATTTTACAGTCATAGTGTATTAAACAATCTCTTGGCTTGCTGCATAACAAATACCAACATTTTTACAATTTATAAAAAAATTAATCACTTTCTTTCCATCGGATATTAGGCACGGACATGTATATTGCGATCGTGATTTTCGAATGAATTAAATCGCTTTGTAAACATTTATTATTACCATTTCATGAGTCTCCCCATACAATTGAATAGAGCGCTTGGACCCGGAAGCCGTTTCACGTGACGTCACACTTAACAAGCGGATAACACACATGCGTTTTAATTCTGCAGCTAATTTAAACATTGAAATAAATGCCTGTAAGTGCTCTATTTTTACTAAAGCTCTATTTTTGTAAATATTCAAAGGTCGTTTAATTATAATCCGATTGTATTTTGTCTTCATGGCTTACACGTTTAACGGTGGTGTAACAAATATGATAATTTAGCTAATATTTGATTTAAATGGTCTCGTTTAATACATTTTCCTCATATGCTTATTAAGATTTGCATAAAAACTATGCACATTAGTAAAATTGTACTGCTAGCTGAATTGAACATGCTAGTAAATGTGAACATGTACATACTTTTCCCCTCTTTGAAAGATTGAGTAGAACAGTTGCCAGTAAAGTCACTTAATTTATCCAAACTGCTTTCTGCTGTTCTTACGCTATTGGGACAATACAATTGGTTGGGACAGAGCAATAATTATTATGCCTATTATTTGAAGTATTTTCATAGCAATTTAAACTACCCCTTCAATATGTACAACAGGAAACAAAAACAAATTAATTTTCAAGGTGCGCTACCCTGTACCAAAATGGCGGTTCCATTGACGCATTACTTCCAATAGACAACAACAGCGTAGGTGACATCTAAAGTAAATATCTATGATTACAACCTAACAGTTATTTCTGTTTTTTGTCAAACCTGACAGTTGAATACCTAAGACATGCATTATCTGACAACTTAACTGAAAAAAAACAGGAAGTCCATTTTCAGATTTCAATTTTAGATTAAAAAACATATTTTTCTCTTAAGGACATGCCCAGATGAATTGTTCAACTCAAAACTAGCAATGTATGCTAAGAAAATCATATAGGTAGTTTGATTTCATTTGTACTTTAATATTGTATTCCAGTATCTAACATGGCAAACCCTAAAGAGAAGACCCCAATGTGTTTAGTAAATGAGTTAGCCCGTTACAACAAGATCCAACCTGAATACAAGCTGCTCAGTGAAGAAGGACCAGCCCACTCCAAGGTAAGACCTAACACTTTTCTACAGACAAAATCACACTAAACCCTCCCTTCCCAGCTGTTAATACTTTTTGACGGTGTGTGTTGGTCAGATTTTCTCAGTGCGCTTGACTCTGGGGGATCAGCATTGGGACGCAGAGGGGACCAGTATTAAAAAAGCGCAGCACTCTGCAGCATCAAGTGCTCTCGCCCAAACAACTCTCCCCAAACCCAGTCACAGAAGCCCCCGCCACCCCGGTAAGAGCCCAGGTGGGATCTACAAGGGCTCAGAGTGTACGTCTAATCATTACATTTTATCTTATT